GGCAAGATGGTTCTGATCTGCCCAGGCCCCACCACCACCCACTGGGAGTCTCTCTGAACATTGGGACATTGTTCTGGGCCTCAACAGAGAGCTCTGTGGCCCCGAGGCTGAAGAACAAAAACTAGTTTAGCAGGACTCTGCCTGTCCCATGAAATGTCAAGAATTTCATCAGGGCAGGCTGGACAGGGAGGAATAAACAGAGACCAGAGCTCACTGCCTGAGGGGTCCCTGCAGAAACCAAGGCAACGACAAGGGGTGCTGAGTTGGGGCGAATGGTCCTCCAGTATTGTTTTGGACAGTGGGCCATATTTTGGGGTGTTGGGATGGGGACACAGGCAATGCCCTCCACACTGGTCCAGCTTCATCCTGGCTGTCAGAACAAACAGTAGTCCCAGTTTGTCTGAACTGATTAAGTGTAGGTTTTAAATTTAAACATTTAAAAATCTTATTTATTGCCAGGCAGTGGTGGTGCACGCCTTTAATCCCAGCACTTGGAAGGCAGAGACAGGCAGATTTCTGAGTTCAAGGCCAGCCTGGTCTACAGAGTGAGTTCCAGGGCAGCCAGGGCTACACAGAGAAGCCCTGTCTCGAAAACAAAACAAACAAACAAAAAATCTTATTTATCTATCTATCTACCTATCTGTGTGTATGTGTGTGTGTGTGTGTGTGTGTGTGTGTCCCGGCAACACACCACGGCGCATGTGTGGAGCTTAGAGGACAACTTGCAGGAGTCAATTCTTGCTTTCCACCATGTGGGTCCCCAGACTGAACCTGGGTCACCAGGTTTGAGGGCAAGCACCTTTACCCACTGAGATACCTTGCTGATGCACAGTTTTTCTCTTTCTTCTGGAGACAGGGCCTCATGTAGCCCAGGCTGTCCTTGAATTCACCCTGTAGCAGCGTTAGGAGAATCAAACCCAAGGCTTCATGTTAGCTGGGCGAGCAGGGAGCTATGTGCCTAGTGCCAAGGATGGCTTTTGATCTGAAGTCCCTCTCTCCTCACTCCAAGTCCCACATGGTTCCCCCAGAGTCCACGTAGACAGACTAAGAAGCCCCATCACGAGACTTTCTTGCCAACTAACTGCTTGTGACTGTTAGGCAAAGGGCCTGGTCCAGGGAGGAGAGGTCTGATGGAGGTTTGCTCTCAGGCCTCTAAGGTAGCATTTCAGTAGCAGTTTTAAGATCTGCCTCCCTGCTTCTTGGCTGTGTGGTCTGGGGCTTTAGATTCACCATCTGCTAACTAGGATCAAAGACTTTTCCTCAGGTGGCCTGAGAGACGTGAATGAGAAAATAATGTTTGGGGTACACAATACAAGGCCAGCAAGGTAGACACTCTTCAATTTCTGCTCTCTTCTCTTATCAGGATATAAACACATACATACATACACAAATGTAACATACACGCATATGCATGCATACACACACTCACATACATGTGCATTCGTGTGTACACACACACAGCCCTTTTTATATGCTAGCATTCCAAGAACATAGCTAGAGATAGGAATGTCAGTTAAATTCACTATGTCAGCAGTAGGTGCTGAGGCCTTAGGAGGTGATTAGACCATGAGAGGAACCTACATGGATGGGACCAGTATCTTCTAAGAGATCCCAGAAGGAGGGCTGGATAGACAGCTCAGAGGCTAAGAGCACTGGCTGTTCTTCCAGAGGACCTGGGTTCAGTTCCCCAGCATACAACCGTCTATAACTCCAGTTTCCAGGGATCTGACACCCTTAAAAGGACATACATATAGGTAAAATTACCAGTGCACATAAAACAAAAAAAAAATAAGTAGAATAATGAGAAAGACAGAGAGACAGAGGAAGAACACCCAGCGAGCTTTCAATGGAATGAAGATGGCTGTCTATGAAGCAGGAAGTATCTCATGTTTGCCTACTGGATCATGTTGCTGGCCTAAGGCCCCATCTCTTAACATTACTTATGTTGATATAGTTTTCGATACAGCTGTATGAGTCTGGGGTCACTCACGCTCTGCTAACAAGAGGCGGTACACAGGACACAACTGACCTCTTGGTAAGTTCTATAAAGAAACAAGCATTGGGGGTGCTGGGGCGTTCAGAGAAGGAAAGAGGGAAGACAGGCAACAGGCAGGCAGGCTGTCCTGATGGAGGAGGAGGTATGAGGGATTCTTTTGGAGGCTGCATGTCCATGCCCAGAAGCTGCAGTACAAAGGCCCTGAGGGGTTTAATATGCTTGACCTGGGGAGTTGCACTATTTGGAGGTATGGCCTTATTGGAGTAAGTGTGTTTCTGTGGGCATGGACTTAACACCCTGATCCTAGCTGCCTGGGAGTCAGTCTTCCACTAGCAGCCTTCAGATGAAGATGTAGAACTCTCAGCTCCTCCTGCACCATGCCTGCCTGGATGTTGCCATGTTCCTGCCTTGATGATACTGGACTGAACCTCTGAACCTGTAAGCCAGGCCCAATTAAATGTCCTTTATAAGACTTGCCTTGGTCATGGTGTCTGTTCACAGCGGTAAAACCCTAAGACAGGCCCCAAGTGTGCATGGCCAGCAGGTTTGACTTTCCAGAATGGAGAGAGGAGGAAAATCGCGTGTTATCAGAGAGAGGTGATAACTTGGACTCTAAATGACAGGAAGATTGACCTGGGAGTGTCATGATCTAATCACAGGGAGGAGGCCAAGGATCCATTGTGGTGATAAGGGGGGCTGGGGTAGGCAAAGGGAGGCCTAGACTCAGAGCAAGTGGGGAGATATGCTGAAGGAAGTGCCTGCTGGATTTGCTGAGGGAGAGCAGATACCAAGGAACTGATCTACAAAACTGCCTGGGGCTGAGATGTAAGTCAGGGGCTTTAAAAGAACATCCTGTTCTCTACTAACGTGCATGGGCCAGTCAGTGTGTTCACGGTCACAGGGGGAATCACGTCCTGGGATGTCCGCAGGAGGACATAGCACCATGCCTGCTCTGTGCCAAGACCATCAAAGGAGTCTCAAAGAGTTCCTTTCTATGCCAGGCTTCTGGCCTTAAAGAGCAACAGCTGGACACCACAGTGGCCCGTGAGGGGATCAAAGCCTAGAGCGACTGCCCACCTCCCCTGACCAGACCTTGTCTTCTGTATAATATGGCCATGACGCCCCCGGCCCCATGAAACCAGAGAGCTCTTGCAGCAGCGGCATGCTTGAGGGAGGCCAGGTTGTCTGCCAAATTCCAAAGCAATGCACTGGCTTTGATAATTTGATAACTCTCCTCAGAATTGCCACAAGTCAAAATATTCTGCTACTTGATCTGTATTTATGTTTCAGGACAAGGAGAGGGGGCACGAACGGTGGCCGAGAAAGGTAAGCAGCCCTCAGCCCTCAGAGGGAGGGGCAGGTACTTGGCTAATATATCATCAGGCAGTCAGCCCAGGGTCACAGAGAGGCCTGGCCTCTTTCACAGTGAACAGACTAGGAGGGACACAAGTTTCTCCTTGGGGAGGGAGGCGGGGCCCATAGGCAGAGACTCTCTTCTTACAGCTTGCTGCACTTCTTGAGCCACAGGTTACCCAGGGCTACCTCAAGACAGGACAGAGGCAGCCAGCTTCTGTCTCCATGGTGACCTAAAAGGCCAAATGCTTTTCACCCTGTTCCTGCTGGGCTCTGCTCTGCCTTGAGTCATGGCCTGTTCTGTCCCCAGGCTTCGGCAGACAATAGTGTGAGTGTTCACTATGTGCCAGTGGCACTGTCTGGGTTGCCTCAGGGGGCCCTCTTGCCCACCCCCACATGTCTAGCTTCAGCTTGCGGTAGGGACAGGAACACAGAATTCTAGAAGTTACACAAATGATCTAAGAGCCTTCTTGAGTGGCAGCGACTGACTTCAGAGTGTGACCCAGAACAGTCCTCCCTCATTACCTGGGCTGTTGTGTGGGTGCTACCATTCTAGGGAGGGCACTTCTGGAGGTGGGCACGAGGCAGTCTGTTGTACAGCATCAGCTCACAGGACCACATGTGAAGTGCGGCCCGTTCACTTAGCTGACTGACAAGGAGCAGGGGCTGAAATAAAGGCAGGTTCGTTGCTTCCAACCACTGCCCTTTCCCTGTAAGCACTGATCATTCCACCACCCAGAACGAGTGGTGTTCTCCCTACCATCATGGGAGGAGAAGGAAAGACCATCATAGTCGGGAATGAGCAATATGAGGCTGGGACCAGAGTCATGGTTTACCCTAGAGAGTGAGGAAGGAACAGAGGAGCAGGGCTGGGAGGATGGAGAAGACCAAATAACCAATACCACCCAGTTCCCAGAAAGGAGGCAGCCTGGAGAGGTGGAAAGTTTAAATGGCTTATCTGAAACCTGGGGGATGCTATCATAGCCTGGTTCTCTGCCCATCATATGAAGTGAGAATCTATGTTACCTAGGATCAACCCCTTCTACCCACTTTTGAGATAGGGTCTTACTCTTTAGGCCTGACTAACCTTGAACTCACAGAGATCTGCCTGCCCATGCCTCCTGAGTGCTGGGATTAAAGGCATGAGCCACCATGGCTGCCTTGACTTCTTTTAAAATAACTTAATCATATTCATATATATATATATATATATGTGTGTGTGTGTGTGTGTGTGTGTGTGTGTGTGTATACATATACATATATAGTGTGTGTGTGTGTATGTATACATGTATACATGTATATATATACAGTGTGTGTATGTGTATACATATACATATATAGTGTGTGTGTGTGTGTGTGTGTGTATTGCGTGTGGTCAGTGTATACAAAAATGCTCACTGCAGGGAAACATAAGGGACACTGACTGACTGTCCCCTGACTTTAAAAGTTACATAAATTATAGCTTATATGCCTGCCGATGATAGGTGGACCTTTGACCTTTATAGAAAGATTACTATAGCGATCCTCTGCAGATTGTCTGGGAAGACAATCTCTGTCTCTCGGGTGCACCCTTACCTGGGTAGCATTGCTAGCTCTCCCTCCCCACAGACCTCCGATTTGGCCCATGACTCCCAGTCACACCACTACTCACTCTTTTGGGGGGTTGACATCCTCAGGCCGTGCCTCAAAGAACCGGAAGACTTCATCACACTGTGAAATGTGGGGAGGCAGCCGGACAAGCGCCTGTGGAAGACAAGGAGGGAGGTCACTGGGTATAAGGACCAAGATAGCATCGGTGGGGTGCAGGGATGCAGGGGTACAGGGGTGCAGGGGTAGGGAGTGGCGGCCTTCAAGCACTATGCCAAAGGAAACATAGTTAACCAGACAGACAACAGGGAACTGAAATAAGAATAAAATAATCCATGTATCAGCCCACTCGTCCATAATAAAAATTCCGGATCCTCAGGGAGCTGGCTGTGGTAGTGCATTTCTGCAATCCCGGCATGCCTATGTCCAGTGGCAGGCAGAGGCGAGAGAGCCCCAGAAGCTTACGGACCAGCCAGCCTGGTGTATACAACACGGGATGAAGAGACCCTGCTTCAAACAAGGTCCAAGACAAGGATCGACGCCTGAAATCCTCCTGATGCTGTGACAGGCATGAGCCCCCATTCACACACACACACACACACACACACACACACACACACAAAGATTGAACAACAACAAACCTAATCAGTCAACTAATCTGTCGGATGACTGATAATCAGTCAATCTTCCAGCTGATAATTTCTGCAACTATGTGTGGTGGTTTGAATAAGAACATCCCCATGGGGTCTGCATTTGAATACATGTCCCCAGTCAGTGTTTGAGGAGGCTTGGGAAACATGGTCTTGTTAGAGGAAGTGCATCACTGGGAGCCAGTCATTCCTTGGGAGCTCTGAAGGACTCTCCTCCTACCCAAAAATAAATCTGAGGCCCTTAACCTAACAAGGTGAGGTTCACCCTCACCAGCCCACAGAGCAGACAAAGAGCCTTAACTCATCAGGAGAGCGCTCACCTTAGAAACCTTCCCTAACTACACCTATGTCACAGAGCTGTGGTTCCTAGACACCGACAGCAGGGCTAGTGACAATCTGAGAAGGTCCTCGGAGGATGACAGTGTGCTATGACAGAGGTAAGCAGGATCTAAAACAATGGAAATGAGACGCAGGGGGGATGCAGAGGATAAACCGAGGAAGGGGTCTCGCCCACGTGTGGTGACCTGGAGGCTGCATGAAGGCAGAATGGTTGGGGTACAGGGAGCAGGGGAACTGGGAGGGGTGACACAGGGGTTGTTGGAGTGTGGTTCATGGTAGACTGCAAAATAGTGGAAGGCTGTGTTTGAGGGATGAGGAGAGAGGGAATCCTGTGACAATTAAGTCAGGCCAAGAGGCCTGCTGTCTAAAAGGTGGGGAGGAAGGCCAGGCCCCTCCCTCAGTGTGGGAGAAATACTGGAATAAGGAGACACTCTTGGATCGGACAGGACACAGTCAAAGCAGTGCAGTGGGACAGGGCCAAAGGAACCAAGGGCTGGAGCCAGGAGGAAAGAGAAGAGCCCAGGGTTTGGAGGAGACCATGGATGCACAGAGCAAGAGAGCAACTGACAAGGTGGCCCCTGGACAACACGAGATACTCTGTCACACGCTGGCGTGCCCCTGAGCTCCATGCCAGGACCAACTTTAGAGGCTCCATCCAGTCCCTGCAGCCCAGTGATCCTTTCCGAGTGAACCCTGAGAATCCTCAGGAGAGTCCACCTCCACATTACAGATGAGGAAAGAAAGATTCATGGGGAGCACTGCCCTGGGCCACCCATGGGGGCTGGAAGACTGTTTGAATATGAGCCTTGTGTAGACAGGGCCTTTAGTCTGTTCTGGTGATAGTACTCAGAGCGGAGACTCAGTTCATATTTGAATGAGTGAACAGATGAAGTAACAAGGAGTAAACAATAGAGCCTGATTCCAGGGCCACTGCCCAAGCAGTGAGACGGAAGGAGACCCTCGGGCGGCCACAACCAAGTTACGGTCTGGAGCCAAGAGGAAGATGGTTTAATTTTCTGAGCTGGCCAGACAACCCAACTCTAGTGCCCAACAGCCAACCAAGAAGGCACTTTTCCATGCCAGATCTATGTCCAGGCAAAACAGGACAAGATTGGACAAGACCAGACCCCAGCATATGAGAGCATTTTGCAATTCTCCCTTTAACTCCATTTTTTCCTAGAGGCTGGGGCTTCGCAAAGGTCTCCATTCCACCACCCCAACAACCAGAAAGCAGCACAGAAGGAAAGGAATGTTCATGAGCTGTGCTGGGTCTTGTCCCAGGTGCCAATCCCTCCAACCTGACAACGAGAAGGCTTCTCAGCGGCATGTCTACGTGTGGCGCTGGAAGGCAGGCGTGACATATCCTCTGGAGAGCACACCGAGTGACACATTGCCTCTGTTTACAGTGGGGACATGGAAGGTGTTGTGAGGAAAGAGTTCTCACTGGGGTAGCAGAATCTAAGTGCTCAAAATGTGCGCAGTGGGTGAATCTGGCTCTAAGGGTCACCAGGCTCTCACCTTACATCCAAGGCACATTCTGTGTTCTCCCCAAGGAAGGGTAGAAGGAAAAAAAAAGACTAAGAGAGACAGAGAGGAAGGCAGGGGAGGAAAAGGGAGGAGGGAGTAGCCAGGCATGGGTCAAAGGGCTCCTTGGGGTAGCAGGTAGAGGGTCCCAGGATGGGTTTTAAGGATCGGAGGTAGGCAGAACCAAGGGAAGCCATCACCAGGTCGAGGCTGTGTGCCTCAGCTGTCAGGATGACCTCAGAAAGGCAAGGCAGTGGAAGGCAAGTTTCAGCTGGCCAAGAGGGCCATGGACCCTTCCAGACGCCTGCACCCCTGTGAACAGAGGGCTCTTCATGTCAAAAGAGAGAGAGCAGTGCTCGGGGCAGCGGACAAGTGGACGGCAGACAAAGAAGTCTTTGGATGGATTGACAGTGCCATCTTGACTTAACAGTGAATCCCGACTGCTGGCCAACAACAGAGGTTCCCAGCCTGGAGCAACTCAGGTCTGGCCAAAACTACTTGGCAAAAGTGGCTGGTGCTGAGTGGCCTGTCCCCAAGCCATTACCAGTGCTGGCATTCGAGAGCAGGAACCCAAGAAGCTGGACCACGCTGAGCACGGTAGGGAAGAACTCAGCTCAGGTCTTGGGTTCTGCTGATGGGACATTCATGACGCGTGTCCCGTGGGAGGTGGAGCTGAGCAGCCCGAGGTGCGAGTCTCACCTCTGCTCTTCACAGGCCATAGGAGGATGAATGCCTTCCCTACCCTCTCTGGGCTCAACACACTGGATTTGATAGCGTAACTGTCACCCGTTAAGTGACAGATCTGGGGAGTCCAGCACAGTGGCTGGGGTTGTACTGAGCGAACTCTAGGTACATCTTGGCTGCTACATCATTGTCATTCCTTATGGCAAAGCAATGACACACTAGCCAGAACTCCAGAATGTGTCGGCTGACCCAGCTCCCAGCACAGCAGCCCTGCCATCTATCTGGTTATCAGTTCTTCCGGGATTAAATGGCTTCCATGGGCATGCATGAGACGTTGCTTGATGGCTTGATGGCTCTGCTTTCCTGGCCTGGACCATTGCCATGCCCCTTAGCACGGCGGAGTTCCTGAGACCTTAGAGGTCTGCAGGAATGTTGCCGAGGCCAGTTTACCAGCAATAGGGACACTCTAGGAGTCTGGCTCAGGTGCTCTATCGAGTCAGAAAGAGAGGTTGTGACCATGGTTCTGATTTCATAGAAGAAACTAAAGCCCAGGGACGTGAGTCTGAGGAGAACAGGACACAAGCAGCTAAAGCCTCTGTGAAAGTCTGTAAATGCCTGGCCTACGGAGTGGCACTATTTGGAGGTCTGGCCTTGTTGGAATAGGTGTGTCACTGTGGGCATAGGCTTTAATACTCTCATCCTAGCTGCCTGGAAGTCAGTCTTCCATTAGCTGCCTTCAGATGAAGATGTAGAACTCTCAGCTCCTCCTGCACCATACCTGCCAGGATGCTATTATGCTCCTGCCTTGATGATAATGGACTGAACGTCTGAACCTGTAAGCCAGCCCCAATTAAATGTTGTCCTTATAAGAGTTGCCTTGGTCATGGTGTCTGTTCACAGCAGTAAAACCCGAAGACAGCCTCCTACTAGCCAGTCAGTAGCATTGTTCTGTGTCCAGAACCTATATTCTGATCCAGGCTTTCTGCATCCAGCATTCTGCACTGGCATCTGAGAGGTCTTGAAGGTCCTTCAACCCTAGGACCAGTACACAGTCATCAGTGAGATATGTCAGACCTATGGCCCTCAAAGTCCTTGGATAGGGTATATATAGCTCAGGTGACACTATAGGGTGACCTCAGGCACTGGCCAAGCGTGAATGAGACTGCCCTCCCACCTTTCTGTCCAGGCAGGAGGGAATGAGTTGGGGCGCACAGAGTGGGGGGGGGAATGGGGACGGACCAGCCTTTGGGCATCTCAGACACCAGTCCCTGTAGGGTATCTGCTGAGTGACTCCTGCTTTTCCAGCCTTGCCTTTCAGTGATTGATTGGAGTACCTAGGCTGGGACTGTTGCTGCTCTGGTTTGACTGGCCTTCCACTGCACACTTTTTCTGTCCTAATCTGTCCCAGAGGCTCTGGCTCTTTGTCTCACTCCTAGACTGTTTTCTTAGCACCCAGTGCCAGTGCAGATGAGGCATACTGAGCAAGGGGGGGAGGGAAGGAAGGTGGAAAAGAGGGAGGGGGAGGGGAGAGAGAGGAAGGCAGGGGGAGGGAGGGAAGGAAAGAGAAAGGGTTAGGGGAAGGGTCCAGGGAGGGGAGATGAAGGAGAGAGAGAGAGAGGTGGTGGGGGGAGGGAGATCAGTCGATCCCTTCAGCTCTGGGAAATGCTAGAGGGATCAGAATGGTAGGTCAGACCTGTCATCCCAGCAGTTTAATGTAGCAGAAGCTTCTTCTTTTTTTTTTTGTTGTTGTTTTTTTGTTTTTGTTTTTCTTTTTCGAGACAGGGTTTCTCTGTGTAGCCCTGGCTGTCCTGGAACTCACTCTGTAGACCAGGCTGGCCTCAAACTCAGAAATCCACCTGTCTCTGTCTCCCAAGTGCTGGGATTAAAGGCGTGCGCCACCACTGCCCAGCATAGCAGAAGCTTCTTAAATTAAAAATTTCCATCTCAGAGGGAAGCTAGTTAAGACCCAGATGTTAGAAAGGAGGTGAAGTAATGGGTTGTTCTAAGTGGAAGTGAATCATTCCATCCTGGGCAGAGCTTTAAGCACAGGAAGTAAAGGCTTCAGGAAGTCCCTGAAAGTGATCAGATTCACTAGGCCCCACCCTCCCCCAAGCATATGTAAGCTGTAAGGCCTGCTCAGAGATTCAGACCACAGAGCTGCCTGAAAGAGGCTCAGATCAGCTGAGTTATCTTGAAAGGACATTCTTCATCTAGCTTCCTGCAGCTTCCTATCTGCTTTCAGCTTTTGTGAACTGTCACCCATACTGGGATGGGCTTTGACAATGTGACTAATTTAAGTCAGTTCTGCTTTGTAAGTAATCCCTCACCAATATTCTTATGAGTAGCCCCACTAAAACTAATTGGTTCACCCACTTGGACTTTGGTGATATCATACCTTTCTGTCATCAGTTCCCTGTCTGGGTGAGTAGACTTTGTTCACATCTCCCAAAGGAGAATGCCAGACAACACTGAGACAGGAGGTTGCTTGTGACTTTGGGACTGACATGGCTACATCATGAGACCCTGAGTCACAGCAAGCAAAGGACAGGAGCAGACAAAGCTGTGTGACAAAATGCACATGTCACTGGCCATGAGGTTGGTGGTAGTGAGAGGGAACTGAGGGGGTCATAGATCGTATCATTTGACAGCAGAGCTGTGGAAAGCACCCCTGGGTTGCAGTGAGCACCAACCCCTGTGAGTATATCTCATTGACTTTGGCAGGGTAGGGGGGCTTCTCAGATAACTGCAGTACAGAACTCAGCTTGATTCCTCCCCCCCCCCCTCTCTCTCTTGTTGTTTTGTTTGTGGATTTTTGTTTGTTTTGCTTTGCTTTACTTTTTTGAGACAGGGTTTCTCTGTATAGCTCTGGCCAACCTATAACTCACTAGGTAGACCAGGTTAGGCTTGAATTCAGAGATCCACGTGCCTCTGCCTCCTGAGTGCTTGCTAGGATTAAAGGCTGTGTCACCATGCCAGGCAGACCTTACTTTTCTAATTTAGCAGGATTAAAGGCCAGCCGGTATGGCCTTGTTCTGACACATGCATACAGACCTGCTTGAGAAATGACATTCAGATGGTGGACTCCTTCCTGATCTTGCCAGCAGCCCGCCCCACTCTGGGCTGCCCTCACCCATGCTAATCAGGTCAGGAGGCCCTCCTCTTACAGACCCCATTATGATAGCTCCCCTGTTCAAAGTCTGATTCCCAGGAGGTAAGCTGCTGTGGGCTTCCTCCTCTGCTGACCCACAGTCAGCTACAGACGCCTCGGGCTCCAGAGCCCAGGCTCCACAGCTCGGCAGGCAAGCTGATCTGGGCTGTAAATTACAGCTGGAGGCCTCCTCTGCCTTCACCCCACCTCCATTAGCTTTGTTCATTTATTTAACTTCTTAAAGCAATAAAAGGCTTGGCCACCGCCATCAGTCTAGAAATGGTGAATGTCCTTTAAAGAGAGAGAGAGAGGAAAAAAAAGATATTGATCTGAAGAAGAGAGATATAGCTCAGGGCCATTCATTCATTGTTTACAGTAAGACAGAACACGTGACCCAGGCCAATCTGGACGAAATTCAAACCTGGGTTTCATGGAGAGTAGAAGGGAACACGTAGCTTCCTGGAAGCTAAGGAATGACAGTTAAGGACTCTGTTCTCATTTTAAAATCTGTAGGATTGGTTGTTTACTATATAAATAGTAAAAAAAAAAAAAAAAACAGTCTCAGTTTCTATAGCTCAGTATGAAGTTGAGGGTGACCTTAAACTCCTGATCCTCCTGCCTGCACCTCCTAAGTGCTTGGGTCACAGGGCTGTGCCACTATGCCAGGCCTGACTTAAACATCTGTGTTGCCAAGCATGACTCATTATAAAATATTAGAGTTATAAAACGTTAGAACAGAAAATGGCTTGCTTACTGTTAAACTGCTGTGGCATGACATTATAACCAAGGCAACTTATAAAAGAAAACATTTAATTTGGGGTTCATGGTTCCAAAGGGTAGTCCAAGGCCATCATGGCTGGGAGCATGGTGGCAGGCAGGCGTGGTGCTGGAGCAGTGCCTGAGAGCCCTCGTCTTGAGAAAACAACTGAGAGACGGAGAGGGAGAGGAGGGAGGGAGAGGGGGAAGGGGAGGGAGGGGAGGGAGGAGGAGGGAGAGGACTAACTGAAAATGGTGTGCAACCTCAAAGCCCATCCCCAATATCACACCTCCTCCAACAAGGTCACACCTCCTAATCCTTCCCAAACAGTTCCACCAACTGGGAACAAATATGTGTGTATACGGGGTGTGGGGCTATTCTCACTCAAACCACTACAGAAAGGGACCTTACCAGGAAGAGCTCAGTATAGGGACTGCATTTTCTGAAGTCACTTAACAGTGATGTACCTTCTCGGGCATCCGCTGTGGGACTGTGGTTTTCATTCCCATTTGTTAGGGGGTCACATGGCTAGTGAGGTTGTGGGACCAGACCCCAGCTCTTCTCAAACATGCTTTAGACAACATGTGTTATTCTTCCCTCCCTAGGAGTCTTTGAGTCAACCTAGGATGGCCTCTTTCATCTTCCTGCCTCAGTCTCCTGAGTGTTGGGACTATAGGTGTTGCCAGACCCAGGCTGAGAGAGAGAGAGAGAGAGAGAGAGAGAGAGAGAGAGGAAAGGATGTCAAGTGTGTGTGACTTATTCTAACATTCCTTGCCGTACTACCTTGACTCAGAGTTTCTCACAGAATATGGAACTCATCTTTTTCCCCCACCCCCGGCTAGGCTGGCTGGCTGGATCTTCCTGTGTCTGTTGACCTCAGTGTGTGTGTGTGTGTGTGTGTGTGTGTGTGTGTGTGTGTGTGTGGAGGGGGTTGTTCACAGGTGCATGAGGCCACATCTGGCTTTGTACATGAACACTAGGGACAGTCCTCTCACACTTGCACAGCAAATGCCACTACCCACTGAGCCATCCCCCACTTCCCCTTTGGCTGGAAAGATGGCCCAGGTTCAATTCTCAGCACCCACATGGCAGCTCACAACCATCTGTCCCAAAGGACCCAACACCCTCTCTGGCCTCCACGGGCACTGCATACACACAGTGCACAGACAGGAGACTCATACATACAGAATAAAAATACAATTTAAAAGACTTTTAACGTTTCTGTCTCTTCTTCCTTCCCTCCTGTGTGCTGTACATGCACATGGCATACGTGTGGGGTCAGAGGTCAGCGGACAACAATCAGAAGTTGGTTCTCTCCTCCACCACAAGAGTATGGAGTTGAAGTTACTAGGCTTGGTGGCAGGTAATTCCTGGGTCACATTCCACAGTAGGTATGAATGAGCTCTAGGTTGCTTTGTCCTGTTTTACTTTTTAGAGGTTGTGAGGGTAAGACCCAGGACTTTGAACATCTTCTCCTATTCCACTGTTTCTTTAACCATTGGTTTTCTGAGACATGATCTTGTTTTCTATTTCAGACTGGTCTTAGACTTACCGTCTCCCTCCTGCCTGCTAGGATTACAGCCATGTACCGCTATGCCCATCTTAACTATTCTACTTAGCTTAAACTATTAAACCATCTTAACTATTAAAGCCAGTGGTATCATGAATAACAAGTAAATTATTTAATGCTTTTTGTTTATTCCTATTAGTTATTTTTATACTTTATATTTTATTTTTTTAGGTATAATATTCTACATATTGAACATACTAGGCAAGTGCTCTACCCACTGAGACACCCCAGTCCTTTACTTGATTTTAATCCTCCCCCCCTTTTTTTTAAGACTTATTTTTATATTTGGGCGTTTTGCCTGCTTGTATGTCTGTGAACTACATTCATGCAGTGTCTGTGGAGGCCAGAAGAGGGCGCTGGATTTCTGGAACTGCATGTACAGAAGGTTGTCAGCTGCCAAGTGGGTGCTGGAAACTAAACTCCGGTCCTCTGAAAGTACTCTTAACTGCCAAGCTACCTTCTAGCGCCCTTTTAAATACATTTAAATGTTTTACTTATCTATTTAATACCCATGTGTGATGTGTAACAATAACAAAAGGCAGCAGCTGAGTGCTTCTTCTGAGCCACACAGCACATGGGTAGCCAAAGCACATCAGTTCACTTTGCCCTCTCCGCACCCCACTGAAAGACCGCCCTCTTTCCTATGAGCATTGGAACCAGAGGCTGAAAAGGTGAGGTAAGTTTGTAAAGCTAGACAGGGCTTTGAACCCAAACAGTCTGGATGTCCAAACACCGGCAACGCTAATGAGTATCTTCCGGAGGTCCTAGACTATAATCAGTATAAAAGACAGGATATTAAAGCCTTGGGTTCAGAACTAGCACCATGCCCCCCAAACCAAACAAAACAAAAACACAAGCAGAACGACAAACAAGCTCTGCTTTATAACATACTGCTGTTCCTGTCTGCTCTTTGACATTGGCTATTTTGGTGTTGTGTATATACAAAACACACACAGACACACACACAGAGAGAGGGGGGGTGAAGAAGGGAGGGAGAGAGGAACACCAACCAGAGAGTACACTGGTATCTATTAAAACTTATGTGAATAAACAAATGTGTATTCCAGATGCCACTGTGCTTAGAACTGACTCAAGCCACACTCAAAAGAAAATCAAAGAAATAAGCTGCCTACCTCCAGCAAATCGACCCCTAGGGCTGATTCCACACAGGGCTCCTAGGCTGGCAGAAGAGTCTAACCCAGCACTTTACAATCACGGATGTGTTCCGAAGGGGGTGGAGCCTTAGCTGTGAACCCTCTGCCCCAGACAGTGGTCTAGCCCCTGGAGTGACTGGTCCCAAGTGACAGTCACTCCACACCTCCCACCCTCAGCCAGGAAACACCAGGCCACAGGTAGGTTTTGTATAGACGTCTTCCTTCATAGGTGGAAGAGGCCTGAGCGGAGTTCCCGGCCCCACTTACCCTGCAGTACTCATCGATGGGCTTCAGCCTCTTCACGGCCACGTCTCGGATGTGACTTCTCCGGAAGAGGATCTTGCCTGGAAGAGAAAGCCTAGTTAATAAGCTGTGATTCTGGCTAAAGCCACCAGGGAGATCCTCCTGCCTCTACCAGTCCCCACATGCACCATCTCAGTTCCCGCCAACAAAGCAAGAGAGAAGCTGTCACCTCTCCTGGGGGGCAGGAGGCGCCCAAGGTTGAGAGCCCAGGGCCTCTCCCTGGAGGCTGCCATCTTGGGCTTCTATGAACAAACTAGTCAACTCACCTTGTCTGAGTCTGTGACAAGATCAATACCCAATGTTAGGGCGTGGCTTTCTAGTTACATCACAAGTAAATATGAGAAGAGGCCCAACCCATACGCTATGTTTTGTCTTCCAGCCCATCCTTAAGGGATCAGCATTCCTTTCTGCTAGCCAGGCAAGCGATTCCTATTCTTAGCTTAGATGGGTGGCTATTTCCAGGGTGAGACAAGCAAGTAGAGACGGTGGCTGCTCCAGTCAGACTGTCCGCTGGCCTCTCTGAACACAAAGCCTGTAGCCATTCAGGCTGGGACATCCCACAAACAGGTACAGGCAAGGCTTACAGGAAGTCCTGGTCCCTCAGGTCTTGCTCAGTCGTGATGAACAAGTCAGTATGTTGGGTTGTCACAGACACATCAACACCTTGGCACATTCAACCATGAGTACATCAATACGTGGCTCTTTTCCAGACTAGTAAATGTAGCTAGTTCTATCCCAGAAACCTCATGCTGGGGACTGAACCCCAAGATCTCACATATACTAGGCAAATGCTCTATTACTGAGCCGCATCCCCAGTCCAACCTGTCAAACTTAGAGTGTGAACTCACTAGTCTGATGCCCGAGGCCTTACACACTGACACTTCTGGGCCCAGTGGGTATCAGTGTCCGGGCACACTATCCATCCCTTCTTCAGAAGCTTTGCTTGAGGATTACATAGCTTGAGATTGTCATCCTCTTTCTAGAACATCCACAACACACTACCCATTCCTAGGGTACCTGCCTCATTCTGCTCTGTGTTATCACATAGGTGACATACCAAGGTACCCAGCAAGGCACACCCAGAGCTGTAACACCTATCTGCTGTCTCCATCTGCCCCACTGTTCTTTGGAGAAGGCCTCCTCCATGTTAGCCCTTATAGTGCCAATAAGGCTAACCACATCCCCTGGCAACAGGTAAGCACATAACACAGCCTAACCAAACAGTGGCAAAGTGATAAACCGTGGGCAGGACCCAATCTGAGCCGACGGAGTTCAGCCCAGAGCCTTCTCTTTCCCACAGTGCTAACTTGGCTCAATGAAAGCCTGGCGCCCCCAGTGGCCAACTTTATTACTGCTTGAGAAGAAAATGGAAGACCTGGGTATGCCTCAATAAATGCCTCTGGAGTGACAGCAGAGAGACCACTGGTGAGGGGTGGATTCCCTTGCTACTTCAGTAACTGGATGTGGCCTTTTCTGAGTCTGGGGCTATCCTTGGACTTTTCAGTTGTGTTTCTGTCAGAATCCAAGTAAAAGACTAATTGAGACTGTCTTAGTCTAGGCTGTTAGCCCCACAGCAGCCTCAGGAACAAGAATTTTAGCGCAAGTCACTTATGAGAAAGGATAGCACAGTTAATATCATTGAGAGAGAAGAATATGCTAGCCAGTGACTCTGTGGGTAGCTGGAGCCTGATCCTGGTGCGCTGCTGCAGAGGTGATTTTCAGTGTTCCCTCCTCGAGGGTCTCCCATCTGAAGCTGGAGAGGCTTGGGTAGCTGAGGTGATGGAACACCAACCCCCTCCTATCACCGAGAGCTGTGTGCAAGGGCATCCATTCTGCAGCTTCTGGCTAGAAGGGTTCTTTCACGTGGAGCCCGGCTGTCCCATAAAGTAGAGCAGAAGGGAAGAGAGGAGACCTTGGGTCCTGTAAGGAGAGGCTGCAGTGGCTTCTGACTTCCCTGTCACCGCAGGATAGGACAGCAGCCATGCATAGATGAGTGAGACAGGACATCCAGCCTGTGTGACCTCACTCCCCAGTCTGCCGCCAGGATCCACCTGGCATGGCCTGTCATACAGCATGTGCTCTAATAAGTACCTGCTGGCATACCCACTACCCCAACCCCACCCGAGCATCTGCCCTAAGCTCCTCTGTGCTCGCTTGAGTCAAATGTCTGTCCGCCTGCAGATTAGAATCCTACCATGGGAATCCCTTGCAAAGAAGCCAGATGGTGATTGGTTAAGATACTGGTGAGCCTATTCCTCATGGGGGAAAATGTCCTCGGCGTCCCTACCTCCTGGTCTCTCTCTTCTCCTTTTTGGTTGCCTGTCACTTTATTGCTCATACGTTACAGGCACATATGTATGCGGCTGTGGGGATACTGTGTAAAGTGGCCTTTGTCACTAAGCTGATGTTTGGCACAAAGAGATCACTTTCAGGACTGACGACATGATATGTGGCCCCAGGCTGGAGTTCTGGGCTTCCCGCTGGAGCCAAGTGTTTGTCAGACCAGCCAGATTCTATGATACTAGACTCCCAGAGGTACCCAGCAAGACCCTAAAGGACCATAGGAGGAATGGAAGACACTAAGGGTGGCCTAGAGAGGCTTCACCCTCCAAATATCCTATGAAAGGATAGAAGAGAGGGAGGGAAGGAGATGTGGAACTCATCTAGGGTCCCCTTCCAGCCTTCATCGTAAAGCCAACTGCACCCCTGACAGAGCCTTGTCTTGTAGGCCTGTAGATGAACTAGATAAAGGAACTGTATCCCAGGCCTCCAGGAAGGGCAGAGGCTTTGAGACAGGTGAGGTGAGGTGAGGTGAGGTGGTGGTAAGACAAGGCTCTACTTGATCAAAGCTCTCCTGGCTCTGGAGCACAGGTCCCACTGGTTGCTGGAAGGAAGGCCACCACGCCATGGGTGGATGCCCCCAGCCCCTCCACAAGGATCAGGGGTCAGCTGCTCCAGTGCAGGGTAGCTTGTAGTTAGTGTCTCTGGATCCTAGAAGGGTAGCCCTCTTGAGCAATGCTTTTCTATACTATGCTTTGGCCTAGTCAGCCCACAGGGATAAGGGAGGGGAGGCCTGGAAGGGATTCCATGGTTTTGACTTCTTCGTGAGGAATCCAAACCACACTGGGAAAGCCAAACCAGGGACCATATTAAAGGGAAAGAGGAAAAGGAGGGGGAGGGAAATCCCCATTAAGGAAGCCGAGACCACAGGGCATTAAAGGCTGCTTGTAAATGTCCTGCAGCCCCTTTATGGCAGACTTGGCTGCTGCAGCACTTCAAAGCCACGGGAAGCTGCCCCAGAAATTCGTAAGTACCACAGGGCAGATTATACGCTGACCTGAAATAGATCCAACTCAGCAGGACTTAACTCATTTCTGGGAGGCAATTAGAAAGATGGAGAAACTGAGCACCCATGTTATCTGGGAACTAAGTGGTGGGCCCTCTTCCCTCCATGCAGGCCTGGGCTGAGGAGCCGGAGCCTCAAGCATGAGTCCTGGGTTCCAGTCGCACCAGATTCAGGCAGTTATGTGACTCTGCAGCAGACGCTTCCTTGCTGGGACCTCCGCATTCTCTGTTGGAACCTAAGTTCTACACTGCAGGCTCTTGAGATGGATCCTCGGTGGGGCTGGGGGCCGACCGAGGCGGGCGACAAGCTAAGGGTTTATTGGGGACAACCTTACAACAACTTTGAAGTAAATAAAATTTACACATTTTCAAAATTTCCAGGCGTGGTGGCTCTGACTTTAATCTGGGGGCAGAGGCAAAATGATGGCTCTCTGTGAGCTTGAGGCCAGCCTGGTCTACATTTGTGAGTTCCAGGACATCCAGGACTACAAAACCCTGACTTGAAAAAAAAATTTTTTTTTTTTGTTTTTTCGAGACAGGGTTTCTCTGTGACCAGGTTGGCCTTGAACTCAGAAATCCACCTGTCTCTGCCTCCCAAGTGCTGGGATTAAAGGTGTGTGCCACCACTGCTCGGCTAAAAAGTTTTTTTAAATTATGTGTATGTAGGTGTCTGTGGAGGTATGTGCATGCAGAACACACGCACGCGTGTGTGCGCACACACACACAAAAATACACACACAAACACATGAACATGAGTCTGACATTACACATGCAGAGGTCACTGGAGATCAGGGGATACTCAGAAGCAGGACTACATGGGTCCCATGAATCAAATCAGGCTCAGAGGCAAGCGCCTTATCCACTGAGCCATCTTGCCTGCCCTGGTTTCTTCTTGAGGTCCTTCACTTAATCACACAACAGAGACACTTTTCCAATTTTTTTTTTTTTTGGTTTTTCGAGACAGGGTTTCTCTGTATAGCCCTGGCTGTCCTGGAACTCACTCGGTAGACCAGGCTGTCCTCGAACTCAGAAATCTGCCTGTCTCTGCCTCCCAAGTGCTGGGGTTAAAGGCGTGCACCACCACTGCCTGGCCAGAGACCCTTTTCCAAATGAGCCCCAGGTTATAGGGCTTATATAGGAAATTACAGGGGAGAACCCCTCAAGCGCTGAGGTTACGGGGTTACAGTAGGTCCCTCTACCCAGCTTATGTATCATTGAGGATCAACCCAGAGCGTTGTACGCGCTAGGCGAGCCCTTTGTCCAACTCCCTGGTTCCTGCTTGCAGGGAAACAGACTTTCGAAACTTCACCGTTTTGCTAGAAATTGAAAGGATAGCCCTTAGCTGGGTCTGATGGTACACGTGTTTACCACAGCGCTGGACACCTGAGGCAGGAGAACTGCCGTGGGCTTCAGGCCGGGCTACGGAGTGAAGCCCTGCTTCACTTTACTGTTGTCACAGCTCATACGGCTGGAAGGGCTGTGGCATCTTGGGAAGTGCGGTGACGATTTTTAGCTCCCAGAGCCAGGCTTAAGGGGACAGGAAGCTTTACAACGTAGGACTGCCAAGCTGGATGTCAGCTGTCACACCACTGTGCTCCTGGACACAGTACGCTTTCTATACATTAGCCTTCTCCTCCACCCAGTAGGACCACAGTCTGGACAACAGATTACATACAGTGTATAGACACAGTGTTGT